TAGAAGTTTGTACATATTGTTATATAAGTTGGATTTTTTACATTTGAATATTACATATTGCTTTTTACATTTGCATATTACATCTTCTATTAATAATAAAGTTCTATTTTATTGTAATTTTTTTAAATATAATTTTTATACTTGTACTTTTGGTTTTTTGAGAAAATATTGTGGTTTTCAAATATTTCTTAATAAATTTTTATGCAATGCTGTTATGCAATATAGTTGTGCTTATCACTTGTTAAAAAAGTGTTGATAAATTATAATCGGTATACAAAGCTTATGAAATAGTTTATTTTTCAATGTAAAATATACTTCAGTAGCTCAATATTTTAGTGCACTGATTATTGTCAAACAACTAAACAAAACATAAATAAAAAAAATCAAATTGACAAACCTAATAAATAACCAATCAATGAGGACATAAAATACATTGGTTTAAACTTTGCAGTAGATCCATTTATAAAAATACTTTTGTGATAATCAAACTTCAGTAAAAAACAAAGCAACAAACCAGGTATCACCTTAAAATAAAAAATTGAGCTACACATGAAGCAATTCTAAAAATAAATAACATTACAGAAAGCCTGCAAAAAAGAACATAAAAAAACTAAAACATAAGAACATAAAAAAACTAAATTAACAGTACTTTCTACAGGAGTAAAGGAAATAATTTATGCTGGTATGCTTTTTGTTATTATATGTATTTATGCTTGCATATAATAGATACTCTGTGTATATTTTGAAAATTATAATAAAATATTAAAATTATGGGTGGTATAAAACACTAATTTTGAAGTTACATGAAAGTTTAATCTTAACTATGTCTTTGACAGTGAAACCCTTTATTTGTTTCTCCTTGCAGCAGACTAGTTCACACCCCCAACTGGCCAAAGGAAAGTGAATACAGTAGAAAAAAAAAATCTATTACAACATAAGATCAACATACTAAATGATAACATATCTATTATCCATCCATATCTATAACCATTAATAACACACAAAAAAATATTTAAAAAAGTTTAAAGAACCTAATAAATATCATCCTTAATTTCTTTAAATATTACAGTTATTTCAACTATATAAATAAAATACTTCTAGCTCATTGATTAGAGGAATATTTTTAAAATTTTGCAATATTTTAATTTTAGAAGATGTAGGGTAAGTATCTTTTAAATTCAAATATTTTTTAAGCTCAATTTTTTTAGTTGCTTATAACCCAAATTTTGTCATTTTGTTGCATTATCGAAACTTTCATTAATGCTTTATCAACTTTATTAATTATAATTTTTTAATTTTTACTTTTTTTTTTTTTTTTTAAATGTAATTATTTTTATTTTGGAGCTAATTACCATTAATATCTTTTTTTTTAATGTTAACTTTTTAGTTTTCTTTTTCTTTTTAGCATTTGGTTCAATACCTACAAAAAAAAATTTAAGATAATACGATCTACGTTTTAGTATTATTATATAATCCCAATTAGTTTTACAAACTGATACAAACTTTTTGCATTCTATCCACCAGTTTCTTTAAAATAAATGGTGAATTTATACTACAACCTCAAGTATTGCTTGAGCTGTTCTAGATCGATTGATTGCATTTGTTGGAAATTTCTGTAAAGTTAAACTATTTGATAAAGTTCTGAAAGGTAATTCGATTTCTGTAACAACTCAATCAGATTATAATCCTATAATTTAGGGTCGTTATTGGGCAATGCTGACCTAACTGCAGACCTGGAATTGATTGAGGTCAGCAAAAAATTGTCGACCTTGTTTCTATAGTTCATGGTTAAACCTTTGTATCAAATTTTTTTGCCGACCTCTAAAAGATGAAGATCAAGAATTATTGCTGACCTCATTTTTCCTAATTCCGAGGGCTGCTATATATGTTAATACTTTTGCACATTTAATTTTGATGTGTTCTTAGGGCTATAGTCTTGGTGAAAAAAGAAAGAAACCTGCAATTTTTTAGCCACTTTCCTATAATTCTTTGTCCATATAGAAAAACATGATGCTGAAAAATACTGTGATAACAAATCTTATTAAAAATTCCCTCAATTATAAATTGAGAAAAATACTTTGTAACCAGCAAAACGATCAGCAAAATTGTCACAAAACTGTGTTCAGCAGTTGGTATAACACACTGGACATTCTTTCATTTCAAATTTTTTGATGCACATATAGACATCATTTTTATTTGTCCCTAAAATAAACAGGGTTCCCACTATTAAAATTAAGGCTAAAATTAAGGATTTTAAGAAGATTTAAGGAGATATTTTCCTAATATTTAAGGAGATTTGATCGCAAACAACATTTTTTTTGAAAGAAAAAGTAAGGATAATTAAGGAGAAAACGATTACATTAAAAACATTATCTTATTTTTTTCAATAAATTTTAAATATAAACAGAGAAATTATATTTACTTTATATATATATAAATATCAATATATATATATATATATATATATATATATATATATATATATATATATATATATATATATATATATATATATATATATAATAACAAAAAAACTATCAAAAATTATATTATATATTATCTTCTTTATTAACTATAAACTTATAAATATATTATCTTCTTTATTAACTAGTATAATCTATTCACTTTAAAAAATTTTTCTTGATGAATAAAAAAAAAAAAAATAAGGAGAAATTAAGGAGAGCAGTCAAATTTTAACTTTTTTTAAGGTTATTTAAGGACATTTAATGACATTTATTTTTTATTTTTTAAGGATATTAAAGCTTTTTAAGGAGGTGTGGAAACCCTGATAAACTATTACTATCACTACTTTTCGACTGATTTTATATTTATATCTTTTCAACATACTTTGATGCATCGACTGATGGTTTGGGCAGATATAATTTAAATATGAAAACTTTTTCATTTTCAAAGAACTTTTTTGCATTATTTCAAATAAAAAAAATTAATTTAAAAAAAAAAAAAAAAATGTTATTATAAATACCTTTCTTTATCTAAAAACATCTGGATTTATATATAAATATATCCACATATTAAATAAACACATTAAGAAAAAACAGTGAAAAAAACTAAACTATGCAGCTGTTAATTGGCAAAAGTATGTTAAAAAAAAAGAAGCTTATTTCTAAAACATTATTCAAAATTAAAATTTCTTAAACCTTATTTCTACGCAATATCATACTTAACATACAAATTTAGCATGGGACTTTATTTTAAGCTTTGGTTACATGCATTCTATAATAAAATTCATCATAACCCTTTTCATGGAAGAACTTCAAAATTCTTACTTTTATCAATTCAAGGTAGTATAATTAACATGCAGCTTCAGATGACACTAATTTAAATCCATTAAAAAAAACTCATTCAACATAACAAGTACATAACAGTGTAAAAGAGTTTAAAGAAATAAATCTTACAATATCTCCAAGACCAAGAATTGAAAATTGGCCATCGTGTTTTGAACTAAAATTTTAAATATCTTTAAAAGATTTAAAGATGCTATTTATTGTTTTATATTTTACATTTTAATAAAGAAAAAATATTATATATATATATATATATATATATATATATATATATATATATATATATATATATATATATATATATATATATATATATATATATATATATATATGCTATCTTTACTTTACATATTTATATACTTTTACATTATTTATATTTTTAATATTCAATTTATTATAGAAAAAAACCTTGGAAACATTATTGTGGCAGGAAGTGATAATAAATTAGGTGGATGAACAACATTCTCCATATTAAGTTGATTTGTTATTAAGGTAACCTATAAAATACCATACTTATAAAAATAAATATAATACAGATAATTTTATTAAATTTAAACAAAAATTAAACATATAATTTACAAATTAAAGTTAAAATATGAAAGCTAACAATATAATGAACAATAAGATAACAATAAGATAACAATAAAATAACAATAAGATAAGGACTTACAGGATTGGATGCCTGGCGAGTTGCAACATTTACCATTACATTAACACTAAAAATGCGCTCTGATAAGAACACCTAATATAAATTGAAAAGCATAATTATAAAATAACTTAGTTATTATAAATAAGCCATTATAAATAATGGGTGCACAAGCAAGTATTCACAAGTAAAAGTGGAATAACTCATTTTAAATGAGTGGAATAAAAAAAATAATACTTCAATTAATTTGCAAGCAAAAAAAGTGTCAAAGAAAAATTGTCAGTTGTATCATGAAAAACAGAAAAAGTTTTGAATTTAAAACTTGGTCAAAAAGAGATTAGGGGGATCTATGTCAGTGATCTATATTAAGAAATACAACAATATGTCAGTGATCTATGTCATGACATACAACAATAATAGAAAAATTAACGAAAACTAATGAGATCAAGTGAATAAGTAAGTGCAAGTATAATAAATGCAAATATATTATGCATAAATATGTTCATACATAAGTGCATATATCAATTGACACGTTTCAAGAATACATATGTAAGCTGAAGAGAATGTTTTTAAAAAATGTTTTTATATTTCAACTAAGTATATAATTATTTCAAAAATTCAATAGTTTGACATTATCTCACAATTCAGTTGACAGAGATTTTCTCATTATTTTTTTAGTATCAAAATATAAAGAGTTAATGTCTAAATAAAGTAATTTGTAATATAAGCGAGTAGAGATTAAGTTAATAGTAAATTTAAATATATTTTGCAATAAAATTTACCCAAAAAACATCATATGCCAGCAATCCAAGCATTAGCAAAACTGAAACTTTTAAACTTGGAACTTGCACAAGAGCAATCATTGTTGTACACAAAGCCATTGAAAGTGCTGAAATGTAATTATTTTAAATCAATTTTCAAGTCCAAATCCATTTTACAGCACATTGAAAGTGCTTTAAAACAAAAATAGTAACTAACTATCCATAAGTAACCAATTTCCAGTAAACACCCATAGTAAAACAATATAGAAAGAAGAAACCAATGACAGAAGTTCAGCACTTGTGAAACATCCCACCAAAGGTAATATCAACCTGTAAACATAAAAAGAAATAAGCAAACAACAACAACAAAAAAAAACAACACAATATACAAACTATGATTGTAAACAAACCTAAAAACATAAAACATAATGCAAAGGTAATAAAAACATAAACAAATATAGTTAAACATAAACTATTAACAAGCAAACACATACAGCCATATATATATTTGTATATATAAGTATGTATGTATCTATATATATATATATATATATATATATATATATATATATATATATATATATATATATATATATATATATATATATAATATATATATATATATATATATAATTCAGCCCTTTTATATTTATTTCAGCCCTTAATATATATAAAATAATATACAAACCAGGCCTTGGAATTAAGAAAAATGAGGAACTTAAACAGTTAGATGTCGGCAAAAAAATTTGATACAAAGGGGTCACCATATAATATAGAAATGAGGTTGGCAATTCTTTACTGACTAATTGTGTACCAAAAAATTGTGTTTATGCCTATTTGTGTTAGTGCCAAAAAATCGGCACTAATACAGGTACGCATAGACAAAATGAAACTTAATAAAATTTAAATAACAAAGTTATTTAATTTTTTCACTATGGAACCACACCTGAACCAACAGTTCAATCAGTTTGGATTTATGTCCGAAGAATTTCTGGTCTATTTAAGTAGTTTTATACAACTTTTTGCAAACCACTCCTTAAATTTTTATAGCGTGGCATGGCACATTATCCTGTTGAAAAATCCATTCTCTATCACTAAATCACTTCTTGGCTTAAGGAACAAAATGACTTTCTAGCACATTGATGTACTTGTTCTGGTCATTTGCCACCTCAACAATGTGTAGTCAACTTGAGTCGTATACAGACATGGCTCTCCAGAACATGATCTTTGATGGAAATTTTATAGTTTTCTTTAAGCAGCAAGAGCTCTTCTCCTGACATTTTCTTTGAACTGTCTGGCTCTGTCATCTAAGACTGCAATTGTAGACTCATCAGAAAAGACCACCTGAAAGCAAAGTGACCTTTTAAATAAAAATTGAATATTCGTCACTTGTAATATTCTCATATTTAAAATTATATTGCGCATAAATTTACATTTCAGTTAAAATCACGCCAATAAAATGTTCAGAAATTACTTACCAACTCTTAAAGAGTCTGTTTTAATGCATGATGTTTTTTCTTTATCAAACTTACAGTTTATACAGAAACATTCAGTTTTTTAACCATTTCATTCTGCTTTATTCCACTGTTTTCAAGCCGTTATTTGGCCTTTCTTCCTAGACTCAAGTTGTTCCTTTTACCTGTGTTCAATTTTGGTTATTACATACATTGCTATCTTATAGCCATAGCTTCATTACATTCATTGATTATCTTATAGCCTATTGTAGCGAAAGAGTGCCACTACATCAACTGAGGGTTTGGATTGGGGCAGCAATCTTTTCTTTCATTATTCTTCATTTTTTACTTCTTTATCTGAAAAAGCTGTATGCTATAAAGATAATTAAAACTAGTAAGCAATTGCTGATCTATATATGCTATAATAGTATATATGTGTGTATATATATATATATATATATATATATATATATATATATATATATATATATATATATATATATATATATATATATATATATATATACATATACATATACATACATATATATATATATATATATATATATATATATATATATATATATATATATATATATATATATATATATATATATATATATATATATATACACACACACATCAGACCTTGTTAAGAAGCATGTACACGAGGTACAAAATAGCAATTTTACCCACGTGTCAAGCCATCTATGCTATGTTAAAACTCTTATCAATAGTATTATTTAATTTGTTTTTTGATATGATATAAGTGGTCTTTATTTAGAAAACATTAAGTCTTGTAAATTGTTGTAAAAACATTTTCACCATTTTTTGTTTTATACTTTTCATTATTTTTAATTTAAATTAAAGTAAAACATTAAATCAAGATTTTAAGATTACAAATTTTAACTTAATTTTGAAGAAATGTAAAATATCTTAGCAACTTTTTATTTAAGAAATAATTATTTTATATGTATTCACAAACTAATGTTTCATTATGTAAAAACATTATTCACTCCATCATCGATTAAAATGTGGGAAACAACAATAAAACTTTTTTATATAAGAAACAGTTTTTAATTTAATCCTTTAACAGCTCCATGTTTTTTAAAATTACGGTTGCTATTAGTCCAGCTTTCTTTTTTTGAAGTGGTCTCTAAATGTCCCATGTTTTTGAAAAACATTGTGTTTTTTTACTAATAATTTAAAAAAAGTTTTTTTACTATTTTCATCACACAATGAAATGTTGTTATTCAAGTTTAAGAATATATTCATACCTTAACATTCATATCTTAAATCATTTCGAATTTTGTTTTTGTAACAAGAAGGAAATATGAGGAAATATACAAAACCATAATATTACAGCATGAACATATGGAAACCACCTTCGGTTTGCTTAATATTATGGCATGGACATTTAGAAACCACTTTAAATTTGCGTAATAATATGATTTGGACTGTTAAAGGGTTAAGAGAATTCTCTTCACAAATGGATTTTTTTTTCTGATTAGTTCAAAATTTTTATAATTCAATATCACAAAAAATTATTTTTATATAAGTTTTATTTATGAACATAAACTTTGTTTGCTTAGTAACTGATGGAATCTACCTATAAATTGTTCATAATCTTTATTTAAAATATTTTGTTAAATACTTATCAAAAAAATTATGAGAAAGCCAACAAAATGATTATATATAAGTTATATATAAGTTTGTCTTGAAAAAAATGATTATATAAAAAAATGATTATATATGTTATATATAAGTTTGTCTTGAAAAATAAATAATAAGGAAAAATAATCTTTTTTAAATATCTAATTTTGATTTCATAAGTGATATTTGATATAAATATATTGTTTAAAAGATTCTAAACATGTTTTAAAATTAAGTTTTATTACAATACGGTACTTTAAAATGCACTAATGATGCACTTGATTATAAATGTTTTGAAAATACTTTTAATTAACTAATGCTGCAGATATATTTTTTTTATTAATGTAAATTTACCTTCCTAAGAACGAGAAGACCACTACAGTCTAGGAGGTTACTTTTAATTGTGGTTGCAACCCTCTCTAAACTTTATAACTTCAAAACAAGAACCTTAACAAAGAAGGCCGCTGCGCTAGGGCTGTTCAGTATGCTAATTTGTTTTCAGAACATAGCTAATTGAAGTTTTTCCCATTCAACTATCATATTGTGGTTCAAAAATATTTTTTACTAAATTTTATTATTTGCCCTGAAGGTCCCTCAAAGCCCCTAAACATTTGACAGGTCCTAATATTATTGAAAAAAAAATTATTTAAAAATATGTCAACTTGGTACTCAAAAGAAGCAAAATCATTTAAAAATTTCAAAAACAAAAAGTATTTTTTATAAAAAAAAACAATATTAGGTTTTTTTGAATAAAAACTATGGTTTTTAAACAAAAAATGAAAAAAAGGTAATATTCACAACATTTTTAATAAGTTTTTTTAAGTTGTTTTTTATAAAAAATGAATCTAATTTTTAAAATTTTTATAAAATTTTGCTTCTTTTGAGTACCAAGTTGACATATTTTTAAATAATTTTTTTTTAATAATATTAGGGACCTGTCAAATGTTTAGTGGCTTTGAGGGCAAATAATAAAATTTAGTAAAAAATATTTTTGAACCACAATATGATAGTTGAATGGGAAAAACTTCAATTAGCTATGTTCTGAAAACAAATTAGCATACTGAACAGCCCTACTGCTGCGCCGAAAAAAAAGTTGAGCATTTTTTCACTAAAAGTAAACATCAAAACTTGTGCACTTTTTTCTGTGACTTTAAAAATATGCATACAAAACAATATAAGTTTGATATTTAACATCAAGGGATAAATATCAAATTTAAATTGCTACTAGACTATAGCTCAAAATGTTTTTAATGTTCATTTTAAAACAAGCTAATACTATATTTTGCACAAAAATTATGATAATCAGTATGATACAAAATATGATAATCAGTAGTCCATTGTAAAAGTTTTTTTTTAATACTTTTTCTTAAAGGAAACTAATGATTTTAAAAAAATTTTAGTTTATGCAAAGCCATGTACTTTGTTTTCAAGAAGCAAATTATTATAAGTTTATTGCAAAAAAGCTATAAAAAAACAAAACAATAAACTTACGACTACAAAAGGAATAACATTGCATTATAAAAGTAATAAAACTTAATTAAGTAAATACTTTTATAAAGCACTTATAACTTTTCAAGTTTATTCTTTCTTCAAACAACATTAGTAATTCCAAACTTTAATTTAATACTTTTAAAGTAGATAAAAATCTAGAAATTTTTTTTCTATAAAAACTTTTATAAATACACTTTAACAACTTGATAAAAATGTACTTTATAAAAAGTTTAGCATTATGAAAAAAGTTTCTAATAATTTGTAAAAACCTGTGTTAATTTTGAAACTAACCAACAAAAAGTTTTTATTAGTTGATTTTAAAATTAATGCTCGCTTTTACCCACCATTAGTAAAGTTTTAATGCTAAACTTTTTACCCACCATTCGTAAATTTTTAATGCTAAACTTTTTACCCACCATTAGTAAAGTTTTAATGCTAAACTTTTTACCCACCATTAGTAAAGTTTTAATGCTAAACTTTTTACCCACCATTAGTAAAGTTTTAATGCTAAACTTTTTATACAGCACATTTTTATAAAATTGTTTCCTTAATAAGTTTTAAATATTATTTTTAAGTTTTAAATATTATTTTTAAGTTTTAAATATTATTTTTAATATTATTTTATTTTCTAGATGCTTTTCTTCTTCAATTAAAACTTGAGATTTGACTTATGTTGATTGAACAAAGTATGAATTATAAAAGTTATAAGTGCGTTATAAAAGTAATAACACTATTATAGCATTATTACTTTTATTGGTCGTCCTGCAGGACTACTGACAGGCTTTTTTTTTTTAATTTTAGTCACCCTCAGAGAAAATGAGTCGTCCTGTGCCACCGGACAACCATGAGGGTACACCACTGCATAAGTTGTTTATAATTAATAACAAATGCATTATAAAAACCATATAGACATGTTTTGTATTAAAAAAAAGTTTTTAATAACTTATGCTCCTAATTTAACAACAACTTACCTTCTATGAGGGTTAAAACATAATCCAAGAGCAAAGATACAAGCTGGTAGAAGCAAGAATGAACATGCCATTGTAGCCAAGACTACAATAAAATTTAAATTTGTCTCAATAAGATAAAATAAAAATTTATTGATTTATTAACCTTATCTATACTGCCAGTCAAAAGTTTCCAGGCACTTGAATTTATATGTAAATCTATATGAAATTTGCAAAAAAACTTGATTAGAGTTTCATGTGTTATACTTGATGTAAATTCATTTTAATGAATCAGTAATGGTATCCAAGCTATAAACTATTTATCATAAATTCTGACATTAATAAATATGTAAAAAGCAAATAAATACAAAAAAATTTTTATTTTATGCTGATCTTACATTTTTGTGGTTTGAAGTATTTGTATCTAGGTTGAAATAAGGTAGTTAATGATTTATGAACTTGATGTAAAGTGAATCACTAATATTCTTTGTTTGTTGCACAGAATCTTTAAACAAGTTTTACTTCACATAATAATAAACGAGTTTTACTTCACATAATAATAAACGAGTTTTACTTCACATAATAATAAACGAGTTTTACTTCACATAATAATAAACGAGTTTTACTTCACATAATAAATTAGAAAAATGGTCCTCAATTAAAATGCTTTTTATGTAAAACTAAATGAGTCATTTGAGAAAGAATATGTCCTTAAATAATTCATTTGTTACATACTCTACATGTGGTTATCAAGGTGCTCACAGAAGTCTTTATGGTTTTATCACAGAGCACTGCAGAAAAAAAATTAACTAGGAGGTTAAACTCTCTTCACAACTGCTTTCTTAAAAATGTTGCTTATTGGGCTAAAGCTGGTGTCAAACCTCGGACCTCTTAGTTTTGTGCCAGAACCACTTCTCCAGGGCTGCTGCCCTGCCCTATAATTTTATTTATAGGCTTTCCTAAACTTTCCTCCCATTCACAACCCCTCAAATTCTTAAAAAAAAATTTAATTTAAGAAAATGCTTAAACTATCAAAAATAAATCAATAAAAATCAAAAATCAAGATCAAATAAACAACCTGCCATTAACAGAGCAAACACCATTTGAAGAGAGTCAAACAAGAAAAACATAAAAAGAAGAGAGGCTGATGCAGCCAAAGGGAAACAAATTGCTTCAGATGACTCGATTGTGTGTGAACCTAAATATCAAATAGTTAATCATTTTAATAAATAATAATTTTATTTGGTTAAATTATTTTTTTGTTTTTTAATTATATTTTTAATAAATAAAAACATGTAAATTGATAATGAAAAAAATATATATTATGAAAACACTATTTAAAAAAAGTAGATTGCTATATATAAGACTATAAAATATAAACTTTTAATACATATATATATATATATATATATATATATATATATATATATATATATATATATATATATATATATATATATATATATATATATATATATATATATATATATTAAAAGTTTGGTATGATACCAAAATCTTTGGCATTAAACTCAGATTATCTCCAACATTTTTCTGAAAGTCTTATTGCATAAAAAAATTAAGATCTGAAACCAATTACTAGAAAAAAGAATATATCAGATCAGGTGGGACTATTCAGGCAGTGGTGAAATCACCTAGTAAAAAAAACTTTTTACTTAAACGTGGGCATAGGTAAAAAACCTCATAATCCTTAATAGATAATCCAAGTCCTGTTCTGTAAAATAGGCTAATGTTTAAGAAAAACATCAAGTTGCAAAATTAATTATATAATTTATAAATATTTAAATAGCTTTTAACTTTATCACTTTCAGCAAGAAAATAATATTAAAGAAACCCTTCAAAAATTTAGTTTCACATTTGTCACACAATTGAGGAAATAAAACTTTTACAAAATTATTGAATTTTTTTATTTAATTAAGGTTTACAAGTTTTGAAAATATCATTTTATAAATGGTTATACTTATTTAAAAACAATTCTCTTATGACTTTATTTATTCATAATTAAAGAAAAAATTTATTTATCATATTTAATTTCTGCTCTAAACATGATATTAAATTGGTTATCTGAACTTTGTTGCTAGACAGTCAAGACTCCTATACATCATGTAGACAGTCAAGACTCCTATACATCATGTAGACAGTCAAGACTCCTATACATCATGTAGACAGTCAAGACTCCTATACATCATGTAGAAAGAAAGTCAAAAGTTTAATTGAAATTTATCCATAATCAGAGCATCCTCATTATTTTTATATGAAAAACTAAAGAAGTTTAACTAAATAAAAAACTAAAGATAACTAATAAATAAATAAATAAATAAAAAACTAAAGTGTTACAGGTAGATGAAAATGCACATTGGTATATTTAGCACTTTGTGCAGACATTTGACTGTATGTAAGAAAAATCTATTTGTGGTATAGGAAAATAATATATGATCATTAAGCTACTAAACATTTTTTTCTGAACACAAACATGAGTAATTTAATACAAAACAGCTGTAGGGTAAAAATAAAATTTTATCAAGATAACTAGTAAGCTAATTTATTTTTAAATTGATATTTCATACAAATCCAAATAAAATCTTATTAATTAACATACTAACTTAGTAAATAGTTTTTTATTCACCACAGAGCTTTGTAGTTTTTTTGTAAATTGCTTCATTAATAACTGTTTATCATCTGAAAAGTGTAGTTTTCTTCTGAAAAATTAGGATAATTTACTCTTAAATTTGCCCATTTTTCTTTTATGTTTTTTAAAAAGATTACAGTTTTTTTTTTGCTTTATTTTTTTTTGTGGCAAATAATTTCTATATATAGAATACATAAATCCCATGCTGAGCCAAGAGCTATCTGATACATGCTGAGCTAAGAGCTATCTGATACATGATGAGCCAAGAGCAGATACATAACAGTGGCTTAATGGTCATGACTAATTAATTTTGAATCCCAAAAAAATGCTTCTGAGATCATACCTCTAGGATACAAAAACAAAACCCAGTAAAATGCACTTAAAGTCATACATTTTTCTCAGATAATTATTCATGGTCACAGTTCATATTTTTAGTTTATTATTTCAAGATTTATGCATTAAAAACTCCAAGATCACGATAACTGTATAACATCAAAAATGCAACTGCAAAATATTTTAATATTATTATACAAGATACTTGTTTATAAGTCAAACTATCAAGCTTATTCCACTTAAAATACTATAATTAATAAATCAATACTATAATTAATAAATAAAAAGAACACTAAAAAGGACAGCTTTAAAAATTTGACATGAAAGGAAATGGTTATAATTCATTTTTAATTTAATTAATGTCCATTAAAAACACTCTTTAAATAAATAGCTCTGTTAATATGTTAAAGCGCCTTTCTAAGGCAATAAATCTAGGGCCCTAGAAAAGATACTTAAAAAAACTTTCATAATATTTTGAAATAAACAAAAAAGAGTTATATTTTATCTCTGAATTTTGATTTTTTGTTTATTGATTTAGTGTAGGTTACAATTACCATTACAAGATTTAAAAGCATCAAGACTTAGTTGTGCTAAATCATGTCATAAAAAAATTGTTTGAGATGATTGAATACATTAAAGAAATTTTTATCTCGTGATTATGAAAAAATTGTTATAAAATAATTCATTTTTACCATTTTAACAATTATCTCCTTTTTTTTGCTACTACTATGATTGTCAGATCATAATTGGTAGCAGAAAAAAAACAGTAAGACCAATTACAACCAGTTCAAGTTTTATCATAAACAAAGATACCCATGCAGTATATACTAAGTGGGCTTTTTTAAAAGAACAAAATCTTTTACTTTTTTTAAGTCCGATTAAAGCCCTTCCTTTAAAAATGTGTTTTTTGATGATCAGCAGCCGTATTCTCATCTCTCCGTTAAGTTTAACGGAACTTTTGTCTGAAATTTCATTACAATATATCTAAGTAAAGAAATAACAAAAACCTTATTTAAATTTAAAAAAAAAAAACTAATACTAAAATAAAACATTTATTTTTAATATAGTTAAAAAGAAATTTTTTACTGACGCTCCGTTAAGCTTAACGGAGATATGAGAATACGGCCCCTGGTTTAATTTTATGAAAACCTAGTAAGAATCAAACTAGATTTATTGTAAACATATGGCAAGTTTACAGTTATATATTTTCATCTTAAAAGATTATTTTTTTTAAGATTATTTTGTTACTTATACTATGTACAAATGATAAAATATTGCTACCAAGTATTGAACTCTCTTTACAGACTTCATTTTCTTTATTTCTTTCTTTTTCTAAGTTACGTTCATTTTCTAAGGATATTCCTCTAGGAAAAAAATAATTAGACAAAAAATAAATACTACTGCATTAACAAAATATTAATTTTAAAAAAGAAGAAAAAAATTCTAACCTAAAGCTGCCATATATAATGAGTACAAGAGATATAAGAAATGTCAGTAAGTGAGAAGAATCCAAAATAGCAACTAAACTAAAAAACAATAGAATTTAAAAAAGCAACTAGACTGAAAACAATTTTTTTTTTCAGAAATGAAAGAGAAAAATTTATTTGAAAATGGTTAGCATAGCAACAATTAATTTATATAAAATGAATAAAGTAATGTGAAAATAAAAAACAATTCATGGACATTCCTAAATTTAAAAAAATAAAATAAAATAATAAAAATTTTGGTTTTATGACGCGAAAAATACTCATAAAAAATTGCAAAATATGATGTGCAATGCCAGTCCTATACCAGGAAATACAGTATTCAACATGTATTTTTAGTAGAGGTGTCTAGCCTGCTCCTCAAAAAATCAAGGTCAATATACTCTGACAAGATCTAGAACCAACAAACCTGCTTATAAAAATTTAATGAGTAATTTACACCAAGAAGTTTTAGTAATTTAAAAAAGATTTTTATTCGACTGTGATAAAAGTCACTGTGATGTGAAAGCCACTGTACCAACCTAATTATTTTACAAGATCAATAGGAACTAATGTGAACATTTAATATTTGGTTTTTGCTGTTCAGAACTAATTATTGATATAAGTCACAATACTGATAGAGAATTTAAAATGTGTTTAACGCATTTATATATATATATATATATATTTTTTTTTTATGAAAAATGTTTTAACAGAGTTTTTTTTATTTAGGAACTTGAACAATTCATAGGGTAGTTTAAATTTTCACCAGAGCATTAGGTAAAGAAATTAAATGAAAAGAGAAAAAACATAAAGACTAAAAAAATGCTTTATAAAGTTAAAGATATTAAAATTAATGAAAACTCATTTCAACTTACCATTAGTTAAAATAAAATTTAAGAAAAGATTAACTCCATAAAAACTAAACATCAAACTTAAAAAACAAATTTAAAAAAAAAAAAACTATAAAAAAATTTATTGAATAATTTTATCTACATTTTCACTTCTTCAGGACACCCTTATATAATATTTATAAAAGTAAAAAGTTCTTTAGTTTTAATATCAAGAACAGACGCTTCTATAGATCTAAAATGCTGAAGAAAAATTAAATTCAAATCTTACTAATGATATTGTGTATCTGAGACTTCATTTCCATTCAAACCCATTATATATATATACACTAAAAAAAAAGAAAGACACATTTCAGAAGCATAAAAGTCATTAAAAGTGTTATTTAACATTCATGTGTATTTACATTACTTGATTTCAAAAAGTTTTAGATTAAAGTTTCATCATTAAACAAAAACCTTAAAAATGTGAGAAAAAAATTGACAGTAAACTTTAAAAAATTGACAGTAAAACTTTAAAACTTTAACTTATTTTGTATAATCACCATGGCACTTTAATTAAATACATAAGTTTTTAAAAATTTTAAAATTTACCTGTTTTTTTAAAACTCGAATTAAAATTAATCAGCAAATTTTTAAATAAGTTTTCATTTGATTTTTGTATGTATGTATGTATGTATGTATGTATGTATGTATGTATGTATGTATGTATGTATGTATGTATGTATGTATGTATGTATGTATGTATGTATGTATGTTTGTATGTATCATAATTTTAGTTTTAACTAAATTAATCAAAAGTAAACATAATAATCAAAAATAATTACTTATATGATAAAATCAAGACAATTAAAACAAAACTTATAGAGTTTTTCAAATGTATAAAAAATGCTATATACTTTAACACAGTTAAAATTTATAACAAACTGTAAAGCGGATACTTTAAAACTCAAATTCCATTTCTGTGTCTTCTGGTTCCTGTTTAATTACAATAAATAAATTTAATTTCTCATCATCTTGCTCCTTATGTGATGGAAGTTTTGAACTCTTTTTAATTTTATTTCTTAAATCAGTTATATTATTTGGGTTAAGTCTATTTCTATTATCTGGTTTCTGTGAAGTCCTCATTTCAAAGTGTTTATCTTTATTTCTTATGTTATCTTCTTCATAATCCTCATTTGAGTCAAAACGCGATTGTTCATCATCATCACTGTCATTGCCTGCTATATCACCTCTTTTTCGACGCGAAAAATTAATGTCATGTCTTGCATCTTTTTCAGCATAGCTATTTCTATTTCCCAAACGCTCATAAATATGTTTTTTTTGGTGACCAATTGATGATTTTTGTGAAGAATTTTCAGAGATTGGTTGACCTAAAACAAGTCTTTAAATGTCATTTTATGATTAATTTTAGGATATAATTAAAAATAGGATATAATAAATACATAATAAAATGTATAACATCAAAGTTATGTCAAAGATTATCTTATAATTAAAATCCATATTTAAATAAATAAAAACAAAGTAAATAACTAATAATTAAATAATTACAATATTGATATCACTATTACTATTCAAAAAAAAAAGAAAAAAAAAAAAAAATGAATAAGAGTGTAACAAACTTATTTACCTAACCGATCTTTTACCGAGTTTAATTTTTTACCACCCCTACTTTCTATTTCAACTAAGTCAGCAACCATAGATGAATTTGTGTTATTTGAATCCTCTTTACTATGGTAATTAAGGCGTTTTACAACTGGTTCAATATAATCTGTTTCAATTTTTTCCACAATACCTTTAAAGAATATAGGATTCAAAAAACTAATGCAACATAAAATGATTCCTAAGTTGAACAAAATTATTCTTTAAATTAAAAAAAAAACAATAAAAAGAAAATAAGTTTGATTTATATTACACCAAACTGTAATAAAATTACACATATCAAAAAATATGTATTCAAAAAAAAACTTTTCATTCAATCAATGAAAAGTATGTCATGTCCAAAAGTTCATTTATTCAATTATTTCAAATATGGAAGATAGTAAATAGTAAATATATAGTAAATAAATCATAAAAAAACTTTTAATCTACCAAAACAATTTATTAACAATCAAGTTTTCTTTTGTTTCCTCAAAAAATAAGATTAAAACAAAAAGATAAATAAATTGTGTTAATTTTAATGATTATTTGTTGTTAATATGAAGACTTTTTATTAAAGTTAAAAAAATTAAGTTTTTTTTTATACTTGATAATCCTTTTCAGAAACAAGAAATAATTTATATATAAACTATAAATGAATTTAATCATCAATTATTAAATTTATAATTATTAATGAACTCAGTAATGATAACATTTTTAATCCATTAGAAATTTTGTTTATTTTAGTTTACCTTCTTGTTTTAGGTCAGCTAAATCAATTATCTTGACATCAGGAGTATTATCTTTGAATCTTTGTTCTGCAAGTGCCTTCATACTTTCTAATTTTCTTTTCCTAAAATTATTTTTTTTCACTTTAACAATGTTTTAAAAATATATGTGATGTGATGCTTTATAAAACTTATTTATATGATGATTTAATGCATATAAAAAAAAGTTCAAATTTAAAACTTTGGAATCTTCTTAAAAATGTGTGCATCAAAATCACTAAATGTAACAAAAAATTGAAAACCATTAGCATACTCTTAAGATCACCTTACCCCTATTCCCCCACCCCACCCCTCCCATCCCTTCCACAAAAAAAAAGCAGTAAAACAATTATTTTAATTTTAAGTTTTTTAATATCATATTATTTTAAAAGATTTCATAAAACTTAATAAAAAAAACTTTGTAAATCTAATGATTTTTTATAAGTAAACAAGATTTATTAGTAAATAAAAAAAAAGAGAAACAAGAAACCTTGACTTTGACAAAATTCCAAGACCTGAAATAAGTAAAACTAAAAATTAAATAAAAGAGAAAAAAACCTTGACAAAACAATTAAATATTAAAAAAAAATCAAATAGTACAATGCAAATAAAAAGGAACACACCAACTAAAATAAAGTTTATACAAGATCATGACACTAATGTAATATGCATCATTTAAAAATATTTTTACTTTATTTTGTGTGAAAGGACTGAAAGATGAATTTGTGTGGAAAAACTGAAAGATTATTTTGTGTGGAAGTAATGGAATATTATTTGGTACTGTATATTATTATTGCTAAAAAATATTTTATGAGAAAAAAATAAATAAAATACATTTAAAATAAGTATTTTATTAAATAATAAATTGAAAAAAAAAGATTTTTAAATATTTACAATATTATTTATATAATATATATATATATATATATATATATATATATATATATATATATATATATATATATATATATATATATATATATATATATATATATATATATATATATATATATATATATATATATATATATATACATCAACTAATGTATGTAATTACTTGATTTTTTTAAGAATTTAGCCATTACCTGACTTTTTTGTAAAACTGTTTCTACCGTATTTTAAGTAGTATTCACTTCGCTCTGCTGCTCGAGGGAGTTTCTTGTCCCCTAACAAACAAATTTAAAACTTTATATTCAAAATAACTTTTATTTTTACATATCTAAATGCAAAATAAAATTTATATAATTATTTAACATTTGTATACTAAATACTTTTTGTTTCTTAAGAGTAAAATTTCACTCCAACTATTTCTATATGCAAGTTAATTCTGGTTTCACTGAAAGTATGTTCAGGGTTTGCACAGAAAAATAAAATTAAAATTGCATTATTTTTGAGGATCATTTTCCTATTTTTCTACGAATCTGCATAAAAATTCTAAGATTTTGTCATTTAAACTTGTCATTTGAAAAAAAAGCATTTGAAAACTAAGATATTAAACAACAATACCACTTGAAATTTCAAAATAAAATTAAATAAAAAAAATAAACAAAAAAGACTTTCTAAAAAATACTACAAAAATCAAAGCATAAAATATTGTTTAATAAAAAACTTAGGTATTTTATTAAACAACTTTTTATGCTTTTGGTTGAGCTAAATAAGCATTTGAGTATTCACAAAACTTTTAAAAGCTTTTAAATTATTTTTTTTTAATCGATTTTGCTAGAGTATTTATATTATAACAAAATGTTAAGTTTATTAAAGTTAATATTTTACTAATACCAATAATTAGATATTCTTATTAAGTTATTTTTATATAATTGCAAAAACAGTCTTGTCAATTTTTTTTATTTGTTGATAAATTTATTAAACCCAATTGAAAGAAAGTTTTGTATCATTATTTTGTATCAATAAATAAACAGTTACAGCAGGAAAAATTCATTTAGCATATTATTTAACCTTAAAATGTACATACTTTACTAATACATGAAAAACTGCTTTGAAGAAGAAAAAATTGATTAAACGTATCAAGAATCTTTAAAACAGCTAATATTCTATTAGCTGAATGAATAGAAAATTAATTGAAAATAAGTCTTCATTATTTGTCATGAACTTTTTAAGTATTATAATATTAATGAAAATAGAGTGGAAAATTGAAAATTCTCAAAACAAAGATATATAAATCAAATATAAAATCAAATTAAAAAAAAAAAAATCAGCAGATCATCATCATTTCACAATATGAATCACTTAATATTTTAAAACATTACTCAGGAATGATAAGGAAACAAATTTGTAAATCACAGGCTTTTTCTTGTCATTATGTTTTTTACAGTTAAATAGTATGTTTAGCAATGTAACTTTTGACTTAGTAGATAAAAAAAGAGATATACAAGCAATATTTTAAACAGTTGATTGATTGTTGAAGTTTTAATTTATGCTAATAAACAGAATACTTCTCTTGAACTAGATGTCAGTAGGTATTGTATAAACATCATCTAGCTATTTTCCTCAAACATCAACTCCTTAGACCGGTCTCTCGCGTTTTCTTTGAACATCGGTTATTTAGAACTTTCTTTCATGACTTTATGCTTTCCTGACTCACATGACAACATACATTTTTTCAAGGCTTTTGTCAATCGCTTTCTTACTCTTTAAATATTTTCTTTGTTTTCTGTGAACTACCAACTTAATTAGTGGTAGCACGGTACTCTTGGCAGCCATTGAAACTGAGGTAATAGCAAAGAAGAGTTGCAGCACTTTTTTTAATAAAAAAAATCAACAAAAGTGTATGCAAATATCTAACTTATGTGAACTTCAAATTATGTAATGTTAAAACATAATAAAGCATATATCAAGTTTTATAGTTTTACTTTCACTTGAAAATTGCATTGCGAAAACATCTCTTTAAGATTTGGTCTATAGCACTTATTTCCATTTTATAAAGTCTTTTATTTATTATATAGGGGAGAGTTGCCTTAATTGGAACACTTAAGGAATAAATATTTATTAACCAAAGATGGCTTTACTATGAAAACATTTACGGTTTAAATAATACAAAGAGACATCCCTACTATACTTTTAACCACAACTTGACTTAATTGATTGCACTGTAATTGGAGATTGATTTTTGCAAAGGTACCATTTTGTTCCAATCAAGGCAACTCGTTCCTTAAATTGGAATACTTTAATTCCTTAATCAGAACAGGTTACTTTATTAAAAAAAAACCCAGTAAAATCGATAAAAATTTGTAAAAAATTATTTTCATCTTTACAGTGAAAATTTAAACAGTTAATTCAAAACTTATTATAGGATTAGTATTACCCTGATAAATTTAAAGTCTACAAACTAAAAATTGTATAAATCTTTAACTGTTATAACATTCTCTAAATTTATTGATTAAAAATCACTAAATAAAGTATTATTTCTAAGGTTTATGGTTGTTACTAAGTATTTTTTTAATTGTACTTGAACTACTTTTACAACCCTTTGATTTTATTACTGATTAGGTAAGGAAAACTTCAATGTTCCAATCAAGAAAACTTTAAATCCCATCAAATTAAACACAATAAATGGTATAACCTGTAGCACCATAGTTTACTCAATGCAATCAATATAGTGTGAACACAATTAGATCACTGAAAAAAAAAATGATGCAAAAAAACTTTAAATCAATGGCGCAAACGCATTTTTTGAGGAATAACGTTCAAAATGTGTCAAAACGTAGAAACTAATGCGTTTTACTAAAAAAATGCAAAATATAGCCATAATTAATTTTTTTTCAAAAATAAATGCAAGTGTTTCAATTAAGGCGCTGTTCCAATTTCGGCAACTCTCCCCTACTTTTAAAATTTTCTAATATTAAGGTAATAAGAAAATTTAAAGTTTTACAGCTATTTTACCACGTCCCCATTAAACATTCCAAACTGAGTGCGCAACAATGACAGAATTTAGATAACCATCAAAATAGTATTATACTCTGTATAATATTGGAAGACTCAACTCAGACGCTTTTAACTGATAATGCACGTGGCATTTTAAGTGAGTTTTTTGTATTTACTATTTAACTTTTAAATAGTATATCAGTAACAGATAAATTGATATACTTTGTTATATATTTTTTGTTTTGTTATTATGTATAAATAAACTGATTTCCAGTTAATACACGTGGTGTATTTTTTCCTTTTTTTAGTTTGAACTTTTTTAGATTAATAAGATGATGTATTTGTTCAATAGACATGCAATTGAAAACTATTGAAAACCGTTTGCTTTGTTTATTTGGTAACAAATGTGTATATAAAAATATATTTTATTTTACAAAGATATAAGGTATTTTTTTGAAACCAAAATCCATAATAATTTATATTTTATCTATGTGAACCAAAGTCTATGCATAGATCTATAATGTAAACTTCAAGTAAATTATTAAAAATCATTTTGAATTTTACAGATTTACTTTTACTTAAAAATAAAATTATTTTTAAGTAAAAGGAGATATTGCTGCAATATTATAAAATATTGCGGCAATATCTCCTTAATTTTGATATATGCTTTATGTTTTATAAAGTTTAGTAAGTCATTTGTTTCTTAGTTAAAAGATGATATAGCATGCCAAAGTGGTCAAAGTGCTTCGCATCGGCTCAAATCCTTTCGCTTACACACTTAATTTTTTTAAAATATTTTCCTTTCTAGAAAACAAAATAAAATATTTTTAAAGGCCTATAGATATTTGGATAACATATATAAAGATATTAAATACTATAACATACGAAATGAAGAGAGTTTTTTAAAAAGATTTTTAAAATCTTTAAAAACCTTAAAAAGCTTTTAAAAATTTCTAAAAACATGAAAACACTGTTGGAAATTTGTTGCACATATGTTATGATAGAGATACTTATGCTATTAATGTGCTTAAGTAATTAGTTAGATCTGCGCTTTTAAAACACATTAAAGAGACAACTTTTTTTCTTATAGAAAAAAGATTTTACATGCAAACTTAAATTTTCTTCAAATTTAACAGGGCAAGAGTCCTAATAAGCTGCAGATGGTCTGAAAAAAAAATTAACAAAAATTTATTAAAGAAAAAAATAATAGTCCGACCCTGTTTTTTTTTTTTTGTTTTTTTTTTTGTTTTTTTTTTTATAGAAGTTTACAATTATAAGTTATAAAGTATTGAACATCAATTGTTAACTCAAAATAAAATTTTTTATATTTTACTCTTTTTAAAATTTATTTAAATGAAGTTATTAAAGTGGTCAGTATGGAATAGACTTACCACAACCAGTATTATACGTATCATGGTATGTCTGTTATTCCACGTATTAAAGTCCATTTCCTCATGCTTTTTGAAACTTTATATACCGATGGTAATTAATTAATGCATTTCAAGTGGGTATTCTAAATAACACTTAAACAAGTACTAATATCCAATTCGATGATAAATAACGATTCGCGCAACGGCTACTGAAACTATAATAAAATTTTTTTTTTTCAAATCTTTAAAAAAGAAACAATAAGTATAGTTTTTCTATATGTAGTTAATTTTCTATCGCTTACTAAAAACTATTGAAGTAAGGAACAAGTATAGAAAAGGTTGGTGTGGAATAGATTTATTAAGAGCCATATTTTACGGGTCCGGACAACTAGTTAACACTTTCATTATCTATTTATTATTATATTAATACATTTTTTAAATTATTTATTATATATAACATCTATTTTAACTATATTACTTAATTATTTTAATTAATATGTTTCATAATAATACTGCAAATAAGTAAATTGGACTTTTTTCTAAGAAGCTGTTTAAATGTGTTTTTAAGTTTTTTTGAAAATTTTTATTTATACACACAAGTTATTTGCTCCATTCAGTGATGCATATATTTTCATTTTTTACTTTTAAGTGGTACTAGAATAAGTTGCACAACAATATATAATCTTAGCAGTTTGTAAAATTATATACATTTAGTGTTTTAACTTGCAGTCAGTTTAATCATGCATAACTGATTAGAACAAATAACACATGTCAATTTAATAATAAATAAATATGTTATATATTAACAATAATATTAACAATTATAACAACTTTAACCCATCAATAATCATTTTTCTTAATAATAAATCATAAATCATAAATAATTAAAAAACTATTCCATTTTCCATTTTTGTTTTATCAAAACTCAGAGCAACTTTTTTCATCAGCTTCAGCTCTATGAAGGACTTTATCTATAGTAGAGCTGAAGTAACGAGTAACCAACTGTGTTCTAGACTTAATATATTTAAATAATTTATCTAAACATGTAAGAAAGAAAATAGTATACATTCATAAATCAGGAAGGTAAAATGCAATGTTTCGCAGTTTTGAATTTTTAATCTTTGAAACCAATGTTACTTAGAAACCAATGTTATTTAGAAAAATTACATTATAGGCTCTTTGAAAACTATTTTATAATATTCTAGAACTTTCATGAACTGTGGAAACCCTGATTTTATTAATATGTATGTTATATAAAAGTATTTTTGATTGAGTTGTTTTTTGATTTTATTGAGTCAGTTGTTATTTGATTAGCAAAACCTTAAAATCATTATAGCATTTCATATTTTTTAGTTTTTTCAACAACTATGCAAAAAATCCAATGGTTTCAAATATAGACTACTGACAGGCTAATCTTATGCTAGAATAAAAAAAAGGAAAATATCTCTTACACCATACTTGAACAGTTTTTGCTATAAGTACGGGGGCTGAATCTTGTTTGAAAGTATATCAACAATCACCAAACCTTTTATAAGCATAAGGTTTCACATAAGACATCAAAATTTTATTTGAATAGAGCTGCTGGTTGATAAACTTCTCTATCAAATTAGTGGGAGATTTCCTTATTTGGAAAATGCATCAAAAACCACAACTACTGATACATTTTGGTATAAATTCTTTTGCAACTGTTTTTCCTGAGTGAGCTGGATTGTATTTAATTCATTCACAAATGATCTTTATAATTTTTTTTTTGTTTAAACCACTCTTTTTCTCCCTGATCTTTTTAGTAAAATGTTTAACATTTTATCACCAGTTTTGTTAAAACTGCTTACTTTTGGCTGATACCAATTGTTAAAAACCGATGCATTGTCATCGGCCGTAAATTCAAATTTGTACTTTTTTTTTTAAATAATTTTTTACTAATAGGTAAATTAGAATTTTTTTTCAAATATAATGTTAGTGGTCAATTTTAATGTTTGCTTACTTTCTTAATGCTTAGTTGCTTTACTCGTTGTTGATTTATTCTTTATTTAATTTTATTTCTAAGATCTAAGATTCTAAATATATTATAGGAATTAGAAATTATCAGAAATTATATAAAATTAAATAAAAAAAATCTATTAGACTATTTTGATATAGATGAAAAAAACATTCTAAATCTAACCAATTTCTAAATTTTTCAAAATAAAAATATCAAGAAGAGGAACATCTGGCAATTTTTTTTTTTACATTTTACACTACATTTACATTTCTTGATTATTAACTTATCTCTTTGTATAGTTAAAACCTAGTTAAAAGTCATATAATTGCTTTCCTAAATTATAAAAAGACACAAAATGCAGGGATTTCCTAATAAAAAACAGTTAGAAATACTTAATGGTTTAGTGGTTGCAGATATGTCTATATATAAACTTAGGCATATTCATGTATTTTCGTTAGTGGAATAATTATATTTTTGTATACAATATAGGAACACAAAAATACAAAAGCTGATTTTTCAAATCAATCTGGATCAGCCGATGGTTTGATAACCTATGCCGTTGCAATAGTGTAATGGTCGATGCATCGGCAAGCCAATGCAATGGTACACCCTGACTTAAAACACTTGATGGTACCAATTTGCGAACACATCCCCGATGTTTTAAATTATTAAAAATTATAGTTGTTGTAAACTTACTTTTATAGTAACCAACTCTTTTTTCACAATTTTTTTTTTTACTGATTTGTATGTGTTGATAAAAATTCTTATAAGTATGAAAATCTGACAGCTGATACAGTTATTAGATATGCAAAAAGCATTTTCAGTGAAATAATATATTGACAAATCAAAAATCAAAAGTTCTCTAGAATCAGGAGACATTTGTAAATCCCCACCCTGTATAACATGTAAATATGAAAATAAAAAAACATCTACTTATATTACTATACATTACTACGCATATTTTTTTTGTTAAATCCTGTTATATATCAATATGTTATTTGTCTATTGAGCTGTTATATGTATAATGCTGTTAAAGCGTCTACACAACATCAGTTTTATGTCAATTTAATCTATGCATAATCACTTATGTCAGCATATTTTCATTTTACTGTCTACTCCTAAATAACAATAATAAATAAAACTAAATTAACAATAACAATTTAACATGTTTAAAATTAATATCTTAAATCAAAATTTACTTATTGTAGCATATCTCATAAAAAGCTGGTCACCACCATAAGGTCGAGCAATTCGCCACACATCTTTAGGATCATACTCATCATCATCAACAAGAACTGCATCTTTAAAGATTTCATCATTTGGTTCCTCTTTAATTACAACTTGCTCATTCTGCACTCCTTATATACAAAAATATAAAAAAGACATTAGTTATTATTACTTACACCAAAAAACTCAAATTAAAACATATAATTATAAATGCCATGTAATTATTTTTTTACAGTTTAACAAAACTTTTTTTAACTTTCAGATTTTATATAATAGAAACATACTAAATTATAAGTTATTATTTATTATAATTTTGAAGTAAAGTAGTGCTATATATTTTTTAAATTTTTATGAAGCCTATATGCTCTCTCTACTTGCTAAAAAGAGTTAGAAGTTTTTTACCAACTAAACCAGAATATATATATATATATATATATATATATATATATATATATATATATATATATATATATATATATATATATATATATATATATATATATATATATATATATATATATATATATATATATATATATATATATAAAGCTTATCCCTAGATAGACAGTAGATGTACACTGTACTGAACTTATCTCTAGATATTTAGTTGTTGTTTGTACAATCCCATGCAATAATACCTAAATAAATCAGTCAATAAAAAATAGAACAAAATAAAATAGAAGAATAAATACATATAAACCAAAAAAAAAAAAAAGAGCATTCTAAACTAAAAAAGATTTTTTTGTGGCTTTTTAGAAACAGTTAAATTTAAATAGTGTCCAGAAATTTTAAAAAATCTCACATAAATCTGAATCAGAAGTCAGAGGGTAAAACAGCACCTTTGTCTATTGTACAACAAGTCTTTTCTTATACAAAAAAGATATCCAATGTGCTGCAAAGCTCATCACTGCTGACAACAAATAGATTATATCATCCCTTTGCAGCAAATTTGATCCAAGACTTGTTGGTCAAGATTATATTCATTCAGAAATACTTTTAGCTGATCAGCATGTATTCAAAATAACTGGAAAAAAAAAAACACTAGCCACTGATGTTATATTGGATGAATTTAAGAACTTTAAAGCTTGTAGCGGAATATTTAACCAAGATAGTCACAGCTATATTTAGCGGAATATTTAACCAAGATAGTCACAGCTATATTTAGCGGAATATTTAACCAAGATAGTCACAGCTATATTTAGCGGAATATTTAACCAAGATAGTCACAGCTATATTTAGCGGAATATTTAACCAAGATAGTCACAGCTATATTTAGCGGAATATTTAACCAAGATAGTCACAACAAGATAGTCACAACAAGATAGTCACAACAAGATAGTCACAACAAGATAGTCACAACAAGATAGTCACAGCTATATTTAGCGGAATATTTAACCAAGATAGTCACAGCTATATTTAGCGGAATATTTAACCAAGATAGTCACAACAAGATAGTCACAACAAGATAGTCACAACAAGATAGTCACAACAAGATAGTCACAACAAGATAGTCACAACAAGATAGTCACAACAAGATAGTCACAACAAGATAGTCACAACAAGATAGTCACAACAAGATAGTCACAACAAGATAGTCACAACAAGATAGTCACAACAAGATAGTCACAACAAGATAGTCACAGCTATATTTGGAAGCTTAATATGGATAAAATCATATTCATCTACAACATTATTGAAAATAGTTGCTTTCATAAAAGTGTAACTGCAGGATTTAATTTGCTGAATGTGCAAACGAAGAATTTTTATTTTAAAAATTATATAACAGATACAAGAGCATCAAAACTCTTATTTATTGCTAACAATTTGAAAATACAGAACAGATTGGAATAAAAAGAATAGATGAAGAAAACAAAATAACTCACAGCTCTTTACATGATGATGATTAGAAATTGAATATTTAAGTGAAGATAGTGTTTATTTTCATGCACCCTCAAAAATGCCTAAACATTAACTTTTAATTTACAAAAATATATTTTTTAAATAAACTCCCCATCTAAGCAAAAATGCATAGCTTATTTAAAAAAAGTTTATTTTAAAAAAAAGAATTCGAAATTCAAAAGTTTAACAAAAAACTAAATTTTTCCTAAATAACTTCAGGTTTTTCATCCTCATGTAATTTTGCAAGAAGAAAAAAAAGCAATTATCTATTTATAATAAAAATTTCGGCAATTTTTAGCAAATTTTCCCAGATATTTTTATCACTAACTCTTAGTCTCTCTCTCTCTCTCTCTCTCTCTCTCTCTCTCTCTCTCTCTCTCTCTCTCTCTCTCTCTCTCTCTATATATATATATATATATATATATATATATATATATATATATATATATATATATATATATATATATATATATATATATATATATATATATATATAAATATATATATATATATATATATATATATATATATATATATATATATATATATATATATATATATATATATATATATATATATATATATATATATATTACAATAATAATCTGTGCGAACAGAGAAAAACTCGCGTAAAACGGACATGGCGAGCCGAGCGAGCTGCTCGCCCAATGCATATTTTAGCGCGAGTTATTTGTTTTTTACGCAAACTATCGGTTTAAATCGCTTTTTAAACGTTTGATGGCTATTTAAACAAAATGAATTTGGTTAAAATTTACATAAGCTAAAATAGAATTTATTCAATGATAAAAATTATATTAAAATAAACAAATGAAAACATAAATATGTTAATTAAAAAAAAAAAAAAAAAGTTTAAATATATTTAATAAAAACTTTTCTCAAAAAATATCAACTTAAAAGACCGTTTTTTAATGTTTAAGTTGATTAAAACGTAATTTAAATAAAAAGTATTTTAAAACGTCAGTTACTTAAAAAGTTCACTTATTTAAATTGTCGTCAAAAGTAATGAGAAACGTAAAAAATCGTTTAAAAAGATTATATTATATACTGAAAATGTAATATTATATAATCTATCAAAATATTATTGAATGGATGTTGTTTTCCATTTATAATATATACACATTTATAATATAAACAAATTTATATACTTATATACTTCGATATATTTTTATTGTAAAAGTTTTTCATTATTTGTAAGCGCGTAGTTTGTGACGTAGAATTAATTCAATTCTGAGGCGTGGCAGACAAGGTTTCGAACCCTTCAATAGCCTTCTTTTGAATTTTAGTGTTTTGTTTCGAAGTAGTTAGTTGTTTTTTTTTAACTCTTTTTGTTGTTAAATTATATTTATGTTTATTATTTATTTTATTTTTCAAAGTTTCATAGTATTATTTAAAGTTTCACAGTGCATCAATACGTACATAAATTGACTGATATAGCCGTAGTAGCATTAGAGCGAAATAAAAAAAAAGAATTTTAATATTTATTTAAAAAAGATTGTTAAATTAATTTAAATTATATTCAAGAAAAATTAATAAATTAAATGACACTATATTTTAAGGTGAAATTGTCAAAATAATTATTAATAACTTATGTTCAAATACAAATAATACTACCTTTTCCAAAAAAACTTTATTCAGAAACGATATACGCAACTGTGACGTCAAACTTA